ATTTAATACTACACTACCAATATACAGTGGCGATGCTTATTTGATACGTAATTATGGACCTGTATCTATCATGCCAATGATTGAAAAAATATTCGGAAAAGTATAAAGTAACTCACTCCAGACAATTTGGGTTTAAACAAAATATCTCGACGTAAGATGCAATAGCACTAGGGTTTCTCAAACGGGGATCCCGGGATTTCGGAACCCCGGGGTTTCTCAAACCGGGGATTTCTCAAAGCGGGGTTGTTTTTTAACCTGGGAAATTCTTCTCATCCAGGGAAATCCCGCAAATTTCTTAAAAGTTCACTTTTTTCTTATTTTGTGTTAAGGTTGTGGAAATTCTGTAAATACAGTCTACTCCCCTATAATACTGTTGATAATTTCGTTTTATATGAATTCCATGTTGTACGAGTCACTTAGATTTTACAAATACGTGCGCCGGGCTGTGAATGGCTTACGTATTTGTAAAATCTAAGTGACTCGTACAACATGGAATTCATATAAAACGGAATAATCAACAGTATTATAGGGGGAGTAGACTGTAGAAAGTATAATTAATTCATAAACTGTCAGAATACATTTGTATTTATTAATTTTAAACTAAGTTTTTTAAATTTTTCTTCGTTATGGCATGTCACAAATGGTCAATAATCAATACGTAGCTTATTTGTGGCAGGACTATGAAAATTCTTTACTTGTCAAAACCTGTAATATCTGAAATATTTGTGTTTTTGTTGTCTTAATTTTTAGCCATGCCCAGTAGCTTCAATAATTGCGTAATGCCAGATTGTGCAAATTGGGCAAGGCAAGTATGAAGTCTGTAAGTATGAAGTTTTTCTTCAAAAACCTGATTATTACAGACAAACGAACTGCCGAATTATTGGGCTATAAGCTTGATGCTTCTATTAAAGCTGCCGAGGTAGACAAATCAAGAATACTAAAGAACAAAAGAAGTACTACAATCTCGAAGACGAACTAGAAATATTTCAGGTTACAGGTGAAAAATACATAACATGTCTTCTCTTAAATGCATTAAACACAATTCCACTCACATCAATTGAATCGGAAAGAGCATTCTCGGTAGCAGGACTTTTCATTACTAAAATAAGAATCAGATCGGAGTATTGACCATCTTTGCGTTTCAAAATCTTAATAAAAAAATATGTTTTATTTAAAAAACGTAAATTACCTTCTAACTTAGAAGTTTGATCTGAGTTTATTTATTTATTTTTTTTAAATTTTCAACTCAATTCAAAGCATTTTGTTGTTGGTGTTGTTGTTTTATGCAGTTTCCAGCAAACTTTAATAAATTTTTTTTTATTTGTGAAAATTTCTACGTAATTCAAAGTAATCTTTAATATATATCACAGCATTATTAATATGATTTTGGAGGTTGCAGAACGTATTAAATTACTTTATAAAGTAAAAAATAATTATATCGTTTGATTTCAAGATATTTTGTATATCTTAAAAATAATTAATTCTATTTATAATTATTTCCCGGTCTTTTGCTTTTCCCGGATTTCCTGGAATCCCGGGACAAGCAAAAGACCGGAAAATAAGAAACCCTAAATAGCACATTATTATACATTTCTGTCGGACGAGTTAGATAAATGTGACATGGTACTAACAGTCTTTAGATTTAATAAATACTTTCTGAACCGTCAGATATACCAGCGGTTCCCAATCTTTTCTACAATATTCCGTTTATATTGAGGCTCGCGTGCAATGGCGCCTTCCCTCGCGTGNGTCCCTCTTCCCATGTTTCTTTATTTTGGTTTTATGACCCTTTGTCTACATTTCTTATTCCCCTTAATACATACTTTACATAAAGTAGTACATTAAAGTAGGCCTATAGTTTAAGTCGGCAGGGAGGGGGAGAATGCTGCAGCGCCACAACACTAGTGAAAATTTGAATTTGCCAATTGGAACACTTTCAGTTGATTGGTATTCAGATAATTGATGCTCTACTGTACTTTCTTACTACTTTTATTTATATGTAATAACAAAAATACATGTATAAACAGTCTTGCATTTTTATCAGTCATATTTTTTCTGTTTGTGGGGAGTTAAAGAATCCGTCCAATGTCGATTGCTTTTCTCTCTTCTTCAGGATTTTTTGGAAATAATTAATAGCATTGTCATTGTGGAGATCCCTAAGCCTATTAACCTCAACCTGATTTGGATGACATTCTAAGACCATTGTTCTGACATCCTCCCACTTCTTCAAAAGATCTTTAATAGCAGATGTCTGCATTGATTCTCTTTCGTCTTCCTCTTTTTCAGAAGAAAATACATTTTGTCAAGTTTCTTGATGTTCTTCATTCAAGAGTTCTTGGCAATCTTTTGTCATCAGATCAGTTTCAGATTCCATTATGAGCTCTACAATGTTCTTTATTTCTAAGATATGATTTTTGTTACTCCTTTAGCTGTTTGAGTCTTCTTGATTATACTGTATCTTTCTTAGATAAGTTTGAACTGCAGCCTACTGTAGACCTATTCAAACCATACTGCCCAGCAAGATCAGAGATCTACTCACTCTCTACATTTGCTATTATACTCTCACCTTTCGAAAATAAAAACCGACACAAAACTTAACAAGTGCCTGCCTGACAGTTTCATGAATACTATTAAAAAATTATTTCTATCAGAAAAATGAAAGGCTGGAATTACAAGGGAGAGTTTCAAAGTTCAGAGGAATACTATCCAATCAGTATATACTAGGTTGAGCGACATCAATGTCTCCTGCACTCCAAAAAGTTTCAAATTGTTGCCTGAAGACAAAGGAAGACCAATTGGTATTCATTATTTTATGTCACTTCTTGTGTTTGTTCTGTGAGGTGTTCATTGGCCAAACATAAAAATTTTGTGCAAAAGTGTTCGTTAACCATTCATCCACTGTATTTGATAAATTATTAAAAATTATAATTATTGATTTAGTTAAGAGATGGTGCCCAATGTCTATGTCTAGTAGCAAATTACTTTGTATTAATCATTAAAATTAATGAAATTATAGCCCAATTATTTAGGCGATCGTTTGGTGAAGCTCTCCCTATTAACAATCATGGAAAAGTCATGCTCCACAATTATTAATAGAGAGAGTTAAATGATTGCATAGGAGTCATGCTGCAATCTTGTACTAGTGAGGATCTGTTTTTAGAATATTGTGATATACATATACAGATATACACATACCTTTCCTGTATTCTTTTTATGTGGTAATGCTAGCCATACAAACTTTGAGACTCAAAAAACTTAATGGTACAATTACACCTCTGAATGAGATGTTTGGACCTTACCAGAGCTGTAAACCATAGGAACAAAAAAGTCAAAGAAACCATACCTCTACATGTGATCCTTTGCAAGATACAGCCCCACAAAATCAGCCTACTTCTAGGTCGCACATGATCAGGAACTGCGTTGCTCTGCTAAGACTATAACATTTAACTATTTAGCCCATGTGACTATGCCAGCTTTGAGTAGCCCACTTCACTGTTCATGGAGTATTTGATGTTATATAATTTCACAGAAGATCACCCTCATGTAACACTGAACTGCTTCCAAAGTGGTGGCAGTGCAAGTGACAGCAAGCATCAATGCACATGGCTAATCTTCACTCTAACAACTGATCTTTGAAGTCAAATATCTCGTGAAGGATGTACATGTATTCTTCCATTGACTTTTTTTGCTTGACAAGTTCTATAACTCTGGGGGTGGAAAATCCCTCACTCTGAGTTCACATTTTACCAACTTACGAGTGGTAGAAAGAAAATTTCTGCAAGCATGTAGATAGTTATTTTTGTTGGATTTGGTTGCTATAAAAATAGTATTCTATATTTCAATCATTTGTATTGTTTATGTATCAGAAGATGGTCAATGAACCCAAAAATACTTATACATATTTTTTTGTGTTGGTTTAGACTCCACTAATGCATTTTTGTTTCTTTTAAACAAAATTATTTTGTCAACATTTATAACTTTCAATAATCCATAATTGAACAATATCCAAAAATATTTATCACTGTCATATATTCTATATATCACTAAATATCACAAACAATGAATAATGCTTAATCATTTTATAAATGTTTAAGTAATTATGAAATATAAATAATAATAATAATAAAAAATTCAAAGTCAAAAATAGTTCTTAGCACTAACAAATAAGAGAACATTCTGTATCATATGAATCACTTTTATTTTAAGAAACATAAACAAAACAATGATTCATAAATGAAAAATTTTTTGTTATTGCTGTTTTAAAAGAAATTCACTACAATCTTGTAAAACAGATTCAAGGCTAAATTACAATCTGCTTCCATTTGAAAATGTTAGAATTCTCTGAAAAGACATATCAAAAGCACTAAGGTTAACTTACAAATATAGAATATGGGACCAAAATCTGTTACATATTATCGTTATCACATTAAATCAATAGAAGGCGAAAGAAATAACAAGTTAAATATAGATAAATTATTTGATGTTACGTGATAAATAGTAAGTAGCAGCTTTTAAGCAACTAATAGCAGAAAAAAAGCTAACATTAAATTTCAGATCCAATTTAAAGCAGTTTTTTCTCAACTTGAAGATAATCAACATGCGATTTTAATATAAACATTACAGTATCCAAATCTCGTAAACAAAAAAACAAATCCATTCCAAAAATATCTCCGACAAACTTTTGGAAGCTATCTATTAAAACCGAAAAGTGACGAAATCAGCCGACATTCACTTTTACTGAAAACAAAATCAATCATTTTACTTATTATTTAGAATATAAAATTTAAAATCACTAAATAACAACAACTTATATTCAAATTTCAATGAGTAAATATCATATATCCATTATAATAATCTAAAAAGTAAAGAAAATAATGTTGTTAGAGATCATTCACAACTTGTTAAGTGCATCCATCAAATTTCACCATGAAATCAGATGTAATTAGCTAGGAGTTAGTGATTATCATGATCATTAGATAAAATGGAATTTCGAAACTCACCATTTATTGAGACCAACTGGACAGGAAGCGAGTGAGCGGCAAAAACGCGTCCAATAGGTATCTCATCAGACGTACTTGTGTCAGACTCTGGAGAACCTGAAATACCAAAAGCACCATGGTTCGAATGAATTGTTATTGGCTGACCCGAATGCCCATTGAGTACGTTGGACAAACTTCTTGCTCTTTGCCTTGCATCCGTATTAGTATTGCTACTTCCAGCTCTATGTCCGATCAAGCTCAAATCAGCTGAATTGGCTGATGTCGTATCATTGTTCGAACTGGGGACTCGAGGGGGATTGCTGGTACTTTGTTTACCCCCCATTAGCAAGTCTGATATCGTCAAACAGCGATAAATATAACTGTACACATGGATATAATTTTGGTAAATTATACTCGCGTGACATCAGATAAAAATTTTATATCCAAATTATCGTCCTTGATTATGCTCTAACTACTAAATGACGTCTGACATCCATCTTTGAATCACAAACCAACTAACAACGTTGCCAGATTTTTTTACTCGTTTTTCAAAAATTTCTCTACTAGATGTCGTCGAAATCAATTACTTCGTTGGACGCTCTTGTCTTTTCTTGTCTTATTCCTTTGCGGGTTATCCTCCGATATGAATAAATTGGGAAGGACTTTACTTAAATCTCCTTAGAGCAGTGATTAACACCTCCAATTCGGTTGTGTTACTGCCGATTTTTAGCAATTAGAATAGTTGGTCGTGTTTAGTTGAAGGATTAAGAGCGGAAATGAGTGATGAAGTTGGTAGAGAAGGTAAACGAGGACGGGGAACGGTCGGGTGGCTATGTAGGTTTTTGGTTGTATTGCGTTAGTTGTTTTTTACGACGGTTAAAATGTGAAGGGTGGCATTCGCCACAGCCGAATGGTCGAATGGTCGCTTTGGAGGATCCAGGATCAAATCCTGATGAGTCGAAAAAACCCAGGAAATTTTCGGGAGTGATCCATCTGGATTTGCCGGACGTTATCTTTCACCACCCGGCCTGGCCGAATTCATAATGAGCTTGCTAAAAAAAAAAAACAAAAAAAGGACCTTTTAGTGCCCACAGTGAAGAAAGAGTTTCTAAAACGGGAAGGATGGCCCCCCGGACAGCACTTTTGGTATACCACAATGAAAAGGAGTTTTTCGGAATAGTAGAAACGCCAGACACAATTTTAGTTTTTCATGAAAACACTGCTTATTGTCGAAAATTTCCTACAATGATATTCCCTTGAAGATGACCTTGTTGACCATCATGCCTATTTAATGGTCACAGACGAACAGAAATAAAGAAAACCTAGAATGATATTTTGCTGCATGACTAAAAGGATAAAGACCTTTCAATCTCGTATAGATTTTTGGTATTTACGTATCCATTTATTTTTATAAGGAAAAAATATATTTCCATGAAATAATCTAAATCGACGATTAACAGCGAAAAGATTGAGACGGTTAGAGCGAATATTTATCACCTGGTTAACTGGCTTTGAATCCGGGTCTGATCCTTAAAAGATATTGCACCTAATAATCTGAACATATCTATCTAATCCAGTCCCTCCTCATTTGGGTGTTTCTTTGCACAAGTCTCGTTTGTGATGGGACAGTCACCGTTCTACCAAATATTTTTTATAAATGCAGAACGGAAAGAAAGAAAAAGAAAAATTGAATTAATTATCTCTAAACTATATTTTGTTAATTACAGCAACGCAACACTTGGGCGATCTGCACAGAGGGATGTCTTTCAGGTCTTTTAANCTTTCAGCGTGTTTATACGAATATAATCACAATTTTTTCGCCATGTTATATGAACCTGTTTTATAGGGGGTCTACTGTACAGGTAAAAATCTTGAGAGTACCATTTTCCAGCATTAAGCTTATCTTTACCAAAGAAAAACTGCTAAAAAAAATTTTGGCAGTTGTCTAAATTGTTATAAATTTTTACTTGGCATAATTTTTTTTACATTTCAAATGTTTCTGTTTAATAATCAAGACATACAATCGGTTGGCACCCAACAAATGCATCACTGACCAACACACACGCAAACCAAATGCACTGCCAACTGAATGCTTTCAATATTAATTTCTGTCTGCACCAACTGAACATGGATATAAAGTCAATCAAACATGGCTAATCAAACACGCCATGAACTGATGCTTTTGATATGCCATTTATAAAAATTTTAAAATCATTATAAAAAGTTTTAATTTGCATAAATTTTGAGCTTTTGTAATTCTGAGGAACATTTTGAAATAAAATTACAGTAATTTGTTTTCATGCAATGTTATCCTTACAAGCATAAAATTAGGCCATAAAACTGAATTAGCTCTATGGGAAACCCCCATGAACTTTGACTTACTGACCTGGAAGTTTTGCCAGTACTGATAATGAGAAAGGCTTAAGTTTAAAATTTGAGATTTCTAAACCCAGTAGTTTTTCTCTACAAGTGTCTGCAGTGTTGGATGGAGGGGAAAAAAGTAGAAGAAAATACAACTTTTTTGGTGATTTTTTNTTCTATCCCTTATTTCCTGGAATCCCGGGACAAGCAAAAGACCGGGAAATAAGAAACCCTAAATAGCACATTATTATACATTTCTGTCGGACGAGTTAGATAAATGTGACATGGTACTAAAAGTCTTTAGATTTAATAAATGTTTTCTGAACCGTCAGATATACCAGCGGTTCCCAATCTTTTCTACAATATTCCGTTTATATTGAGGCTCGCGTGCAATGGCGCCTTCCCTCGCGTGCGCATAAGTGTTTATTGCTCTGTATTCAGTATTTATTTTTTTTTTATTATAAATTTAATGATACCTATAAGATTTGATTAAAAATATGAAGCAAAAATATAATTTCACTCTTAAAAACTACAGATATGCCTACGTACATACTTTGCACAAATAAAATGGGTATTTTTTTTAAAACTCTTTCCGCCCTGTGGGCACTAAGAGGGTCTCTTTTTAGCAAGTCCATTATGAGTTCAGTCAGGCCCATAATAGGGCGGCCGAAAGATGAAGGATGGGGCCTGACATATCCGTTCGGACCACTCCCGAAAAATTTCTGAAGACTTTCGACCCGTCAGAATTCGATTCTGTATCCCCAAAAACCGTAAACTATGTTACCTTGACAGCTCGACCAATCGGCCACTTATGAAGAGAGGCAGCTTTTTTTTAATTGTTAATGTTATAGACAATTTTCTCGTTCGCTCGTGTTTGTTACAATTCAAATATAATAATATGACCCTATCTGAAAATTAATATGAAGTAAAAATTTTATTTAATGACATACATGAGTTAATTCTGCACACTTCGTTTTTGCTAAACAGGAAATGGCGTCACGTTTTTTTTAATCTCTTGTGTTATAAGCTTTAAACGCGAGGAATAACAGTAGCAATAATAATGCTAATGATACGGTAAAATAATTAAATAATTTTGTTACATATTAAAAAAAAACAAAATCAGAAAGTGTGAAGGATCGAATCTATATCGCACAGCTCATACACTTGGCGTTTTATCCACTCGAGTATATAAACTACCAGAATTGCTCCTTCCAAAGACTTATATACTCAATTTTCAGAGGCCCACTTTTCGGAAACGCTTGAGAAGTGAGTCCTATTATTTGGACAATAATCTGTTTGTGTTTAGGGCTACGTGCTCACCAAGTTTCGTTCGAATCGGACAACACGGCCCTGCTCCCGGGACTGAAGGCCGTTGCCACTTTGCACTTTTACCATAGCGGCCGTCCGGCCGTCTTTTATACCGAGCTGGCGTTTCTTGGTGTACTAGATATAAAATCAATCAATTGCAAAAATTCTATTACAGCTTATTTAAAGTTAGTATTTTGTTTCTAAAAATAAATATTTTGAGCTTTACGAAAAATATTTAAAATTAAATTTGAAAATTTTTCTTCTTTCTTTTTTGTCTGAATCGATTGAATTCATCGGTGAAGAAAGCGTCCACCAGGGTGGGAGCACACGTGCGAAAATGGCAGTTTCGTCCAGAGAATCAGGTTGGCCGAAAGGAAACACACAATCGCAATATTCCGGAAGATACATAAGCAGTAATAACAATCGTAGCATGGCTTTAAGTCGAACTGTTCCACTGTAAGTAATGTATATGTATTTAAGAAGTTTTTCTAAATGTATACAATGCTGTCATATCTTTCAAATGGTACAATAGTCGATGATAATAGTGCTTATCTCTGGTTGTTGTCATGCTTTAATATTGGTCACTTAGAACGAATATTTTTCAAGTTTTTTTTGTTATTCTGTTGTAAGAAACCCAATTTTGACTACGGCTAAAGAAAGAAATGGTTTAAATTTTCATAAAATTAACATAAAAATACCAGTTTTTAAAAATAATAATAATTATGGAAATTGTACGAAAAGATATTTCAACAAAGTTATAACGTATTTGGTATACCACGTATTTATACAATGAATAGATGAAAAATAAAAATAAATCAGTATTACTATTTTCTATGAAAAAGAAAAAAATTTCAGAGTATGTAGAGAACAATGCATTTATAAGCAATTTTTTCTTAACTTACAAGATATTCTACACAATTTTGAGGTAATTATACAGATTAAGGGAATATACCTCCTTATTAAAATAAGAAAAAAACTCATATTCCCTTAATCTGTATAATTACTGATTTTGAATTATAATTAGAAAAATGATCATCATTTCAAGTTAATGAAAACTTAATAACAAAAGAAGCGGTACATCTTTTATAACTTTGGCAATATATTTAATTAACCAAAAATGTTTTCAATCTACTTTCTAGGCCTTTGGTCGGAACATCAAACTTAAATGAAAACGAACATTGGATGGAATATTTCCATTTAAGTTTGATGTTCTGATTGAGGTTTAAGTAAGTTGAAAATGTTTTTGGTTAATTAAATACATGTATCCTTTGTATAATGCGGTAGATACGTTCCGAAAAGTGCTGTGTTATGCAAATCTGTACTATACGAAACAAAGGACTAGTGCAAAACATAGGGTTACATTCCAGAAGTTAACAAAAGTGTACTATTCTTTTTCACTACTAAGAGAGATATGTTTATTAAAGCAATTGATAATTTACTCTCAATCAATAATTAACTAACAAGCACAATCAAAAGTAGGCTACTGTTAATATTAATTTTAGTTAAATAAGGGCATTTTCTTTTTTCAGCTTCTGAGTTTTTTTGTTGATCTTGATAAAAAATATTAGCAACATCTTTATTTTTCTATTTTTATGATAATTTTCTATGGATGACAAAATAAAATAAAGACAAAATCTTCAATAGTCCAGCAAAACGTTTTAATAACTTAAAAACGTTTTTGAACGCTTTAAGCAATTATCCTCGGTTATTCTCTTGAATCAAACGAGAAATTCAATTAATATGTTATTATAGTAGAGCATTAATTATCCAGAACAATTCAAGCTGGGGTTGTTTGGATAACTGATCATTTATGAAAAATATATTAAACACAAATGTACTGTATATATTTTGCATCACATGTCTTACAAATACATATCTTACATAAAGTAGTACATTAAAGTAGGTCTACAGTTTACATTGGCAGGGAGGGAGGGAGTGCAGCAGTACCATAGCACTAGCAGAAATTTGGATTTGCCAACTAGAATGCTTTTGGTTAACCGATGATTCAGTTGATTGGTATTTGGATAATCAATGCTCTACTGTAATCAATAATTTGTTCTAGCAAGTCGGGTACTGAGAGATTTTCTCCAGAATTTGTGCTCAAATACCAATTTATTTGAGTTGGGAACAGTTCGAATATTGAGATACAGTTGACCCCCCATAATGTGGTAGATACATTCCGCTTTATAAGAATTTTGCATTGTCGGAATCCTTAAATATATGAGCCAATCACAGCCCAGCACGTGTGCAGTTTACGGACTACAGCTGTTTGAAAGGTTTTCTTCCATAAAATTAATTGATTCTAGACTAATTTCACTCAACATTTCCAAAACGCATATAATTTTTTGGGAATAATTTGTATAAACTATGCTATAAACAAAAAATTATAGGAAAACAAGCTTAAGCAATGGCGTCATTGAACAGTGCACACGTACTGAGTGTGCATCGTTCGATGACGCCATTGCTTAAGCTTGTTTTCATCGCGGAGCAGTGCACCAAATGGCGGCCACGTTTTCTGATAAGTTATTTTTCTGTGAAAAATTCGTTGAACTTTGGAGACATTATTAATAGAAATAATTTTTATGGCCGTTGAATAAGAAATGTTTTTTTCACAAGAAATGTATAAAATTACAGTACTGTATTAGACTTACAGCACCTAATTTATAAACTGTACGGACGATAGTAAACTTAACTTACCTGCCTAAACTCTCTGTAGCGTGGAAGTAGTTTGGCTGCTCGTCCACTATTGGTCCAGATTCAACCAATCCTGTCGTGACACGAGTCGGCGATGATGTTTTACCACATTTTACGAGTGTCTTTTGCATCTTTATACAAATACGGTTGCAATTTTTTTGCTGCGATATATGAATCCGCATTATATGAACCTGCGTTATATGAAACCTGTGAACCTGAGAAAATACAAGATGAATGTGGAACACAAGCTGTCAACAGAGAAATAAAAAAGATGTCTGGAGGGACGATGACATCTGTCTATTATTAAATATATGGCAAGAAAAAGTATTTATTTCTAACCAAAACTTCCATTTTGTTTATTGGTGTTCGTGACTTACTGCGTAATTATGTCAGTTTTATCATCGTATGTAATAGCCGGGTTCTTCACAAGCGGACTGCCTGTGCGAACGGCACAATGTTCGACTAGCGACAGTCACAATCCAGATTGTAGGTAAATCGAGATTGAAGTGAGTTGGGGATTGTATGCGAACGTAGAGTGAAACTGGAAGGTTTTGTACGGGTGATATCCCCACTTTTCAAACCATGTTAGAGCGAAACAGTGTTGAAGTACCATGCTGTTGGATATCTGTATATTTCTGAGGTTATACCAGTGGTGTGCCGTCCTTGGAAGCGTGGAAATGCCACTTCCCTTGTATTTTCTAAAATATAAAAACATATTGCATGATTATTTTCATATTTTAACATACAGTAATTTGAATTAATATTTTATTATAACCGCATTATGTATCTTATTATAAATTTCTATACTACATGTGAAAAAAACGATTTGATTACTATTGTATATTTCAATATCAGTGGCGGAATGGAAGTGCTGTATTGTCGAATATGGGACAGCTTTCAAGTAGCCAGATTATATGCGCATGCGCTTTACAGAGCACCACCCTCACCCGGTTTAACTGGTGGAAGCTACACCTGTATAATGCTTCCAATGATTCTATCCAGGATCGGTTCTGGGATGTTAACCGTCTGTGTGCTAGATATTTGGCTGCCCTCACCCCATTATGTGAATCGCAAGTAGATTTATAACTTAACCCAACCGATAAGAATTTACTGGTATATTTTTATGATAGTTCTGTATAGTTGACAGGAGTTAAAAAAAAAAAAAATCCATTAAAATATTTGATATTTTTATTATGCTCTCCCATCTTGTATTACAGATTTCAATGTTAAACTAGTGATATTACGATTTAGTATATCCCATCTATAAGGGGATGCAGAAAAAAACTGTGCACAATTCTTGTACAATGTTAAAAAATTAACTGTTACTTTGGTAGCATCATTTACAACTAATTTAATCAATGTGATTCACAAGGTACAAAAAAAGCTCTAGAATTTATTTTCCGTAAATTTACGATTTACGTATCTGTTGTCATAAAAATTTGTCTTTCCACTACTTTCTCAAGACTACAAATATTAAAATACAAAGTAACTTGTTTCAACTTATTTCTATGTAAGTAGTTAAATAATTAAGAGATTAGGGAATTAGGGACATAAATAAAACCCTGCTGAAAGAGCTGGAGTATTACTTAAACAAAAGCTTAACCGAACCAATCTCTAGCCAAGTACAGTNCGACGCTAAATTTTTATTAATTAATTTTTTAAATTGGTGCCTAATTGACCGAGCGCGCGTAATTTAAATTTGACGGAGCACGCGCGTGCCGACGGGTTAAGGGTAACTGGCCCCTATTTAGGCGTTAAAGACGTGGAGAAAGCCCAGAAAACTCCATGTGCACAGCCCATCCTAACGAGGTGCGAACCCACGACCGAACTACTAGTATTCAGAAAATGGTTCCGTTCCCCGAACACTAGCTTGGCCAGTGGTGGGCCAAAAAAAGCCGTTGTGGCCGACTATAAAAACTATAAAATACATTTCATTACCTTAAAATGTGTTTTATTTTTAATTAAATTTTGAAATCACTTAAATATTCGACGAAAACGAATTATCGAAATCGGCGAATGATACATTTTTTTTTGAAATTTTTCAAAAACTTTATTATTAATTCTATAAATTTAAAAATCTGTATATATTACTATAATTTTAAATATTTTAAACATTCAGAAGAAAGAAACAATACCAAAACTTTTTAAAATTTTGCTCCTTTTGGGAGATTTTCGGCCGCAAAAACTAAAAAGCCATTCAATTCAAATGTTCGAAACTAAGTCCGAACAATACTTTTCACGTGCGGTAGTATTCGACGACGAGCTTTTTACGTATAAGTAATAAAGAATTAGACTTCAATATCTCCGAGGATACGGAACCGTAACGAGAATCATGCCCAAGAATGGTATACCAGACAGATGGGAAAGTTACACCCCTTTCGGTAAAGTGATCGGACAGACTCGATTTATCGCATTTAAAGTTCCTCTAAAGGAAAATCTGTGTAGAATATTGCCTGCGACGATGAGATTTACGCCGTCCAATCTAATTTCGTCCATCGACAAATTAGGAATGGTAATCGATTTGACCAACACCCGCAGATACTATAATTCCGCAGAAATCACCGACTGCGGAGTGTCCTATCTGAAAATTTTCTGTCGGGGAAAGGTAGTTCCAGATCGAAACGTCGTCCAGAAGTTCTTCGAGGCCGTCGACGACTTTTTAAGGAATAACGATAAAGGTCTGATAGGAGTCCATTGTACGCACGGCGTCAACAGAACCGGGTATCTAATCTGTAAATACATGATCGACAAATTACGGTACGACGCCAAAGACGCCATCCTCGAGTTTAATAACGCTCGGGGTCACGACATCGAAAGGGTGGAGTACATAAACCATTTGTGCAGAATCGAAAACGGCGAGTCCAACGGAAAAGACAACGAAACTTAGAGAAAAAGTAGCGATTGGCAAGCGGAGAAAAAAGTGTTTAAATCCGACTTTAACGGTGGAAAAAATTACATCGGAAACGCAACGAATTACGGCAGAAATTACACGAGAGATTATTGTTTTGGAGAGAACTCTCGGTAAAACGACTTTAATTCTAGATAAAGTAGTCTATGCGATTATTTGTACGGACCACCTTCGAACGACGACTGGTACCAACAGTGGTGGAACTCGAACCACGACGGTCAGAATTCCTTCTTCCGTTCTAGAAGTAAGGGCGATTCCAGGACTTAATCGAGAAATGTCCGAGATTCGAATTATCGCTGGTCGTTGGACAATTTCCACGCCAACCGTCGACCTGTTTCTGAGAACTTTTTATTAAATTCCGATGCATATTCGCCTATATTGGCATAAGTTCCTTCGAACATTCGTGAATATTTTCAAAAAAAAAAAAAAATTAATTTTTAAAGTAGAATATATTTAAAAATGAATTTCTTTGATAATTGAGGATAAACTATCTTTGAATTAAAATGTGTATTATTATCGTAAATATGTAAAAATACGAAATTTCTTCACTTATATATTAAAACAGATTTTTTTTCGAAAATGTCGAAGTTCCTGCTTATTCGTTTTGTGGTTCGGATAAACTTATCGTAAATCTTCATTTTGGAGGTAGAAGTTACCGGTAGTAGTGTCGATTAGAATGGGTTTAATTCCATGTGTATCCGTCTGAAGCATATATGCCGTGCATATATACAGTCATGATTTACTTATAAGTGACCATTTAAGGCCCGGTTAGACGTTCCCGAATGGTTCTGCAAATTTATACCTCTAGTAAGTCATCGTAAGTAGAAAAGAATACAAAATATTTATTTTGTATATTTATATCTGTCCTTGTGTCCCGAATAGTCTAGAGCAGGGGTGGCCAACGGTTTTTGCCCCCGGGCCGAATTGGAAAGAAAACTTTTTCCACGGGCCAAACCAGACGCTGTCCTAGGAAGATTTTGAGGTGGTGCGAGATCTCATTGTGGTGTCACCCCGCAGAGACTAAATTGTACGTAGAGATTGCAGATACATTTTTCACATTATCATGCTTTATGAACATTCTACGCTGTACTTACGAGATTTGTAATGGAGGGTTAACTCTAAACGCACAGTGAGTTGTTGACCTTTTTTTTCTTTCTTTTTTTTTAGCGTCAGAATTTTTCATCGAGCTATTCGGACTTGAGTAGCTAATATTGAAAGATTGATCGCGAGCCACATAAATTCATTAGATGGGTTGGATCCGGCCCGCGGGCCGTATGTTGGCCATGCTTGGTCTAGAGTCTAAACTGTATTTTGACTTAAAAAAAAAAAAATATAGAATAGTGCCGAGATATCGAAGCTTTTGAGATTATCCTTCCGTTAATACAATACTGTAAAATTACTGTTTAGTAAGAAAATTTGTCACCCTCTTTTAAGAGGAATTTAATACTACACTACCAATATACAGTGGCGATGCTTATTTGATACGTAATTATGGACCTGTATCTATCATGCCAATGATTGAAAAAATATTCGGAAAAGTATAAAGTAACTCACTCCAGACAATTTGGGTTTAAACAAAATATCTCGACGTAAGATGCAATAGCACTAGGGTTTCTCAAACCGGGGATTTCTCAAAGCGGGGTTGTTTTTTAACCTGGGAAATTCTTCTCATCCAGGGAAATCCCGCAAATTTCTTAAAAGTTCACTTTTTTCTTATTTTGTGTTAAGGTTGTGGAAATTCTGTAAATACAGTCTACTCCCCTATAATACTGTTGATAATTTCGTTTTATATGAATTCCATGTTGTACGAGTCACTTAGATTTTACAAATACGTGCGCCGGGCTGTGAATGGCTTACGTATTTGTAAAATCTAAGTGACTCGTACAACATGGAATTCATATAAAACGGAATAATCAACAGTGTTATAGGGGGTCGACTGTAGAAAGTATAATTAATTCATAAACTGTCAGAATACATTTGTATTTATTAATTTTAAACTAAGTTTTTTAAATTTTTCTTCGTTATGGCATGTCACAAATGGTCAATAATCAATACGTAGCTTATTTGTGGCAGGACTATGAAAATTCTTTACTTGTCAAAACCTGTAATATCTGAAATATTTGTGTTTTTGTTGTCTTAATTTTTAGCCATGCCCAGTAGCTTCAATAATTGCGTAATGCCAGATTGTGCAAATTGGGCAAGGCAAGTATGAAGTCTGTAAGTATGAAGTTTTTCTTCAAAAACCTGATTATTACAGACAAACGAACTGCCGAATTATTGGGCTATAAGCTTGATGCTTCTATTAAAGCTGCCGAGGTAGACAAATCAAGAATACTAAAGAACAAAAGAAGTACTACAATCTCGAAGACGAACTAGAAATATTTCAGGTTACAGGTGAAAAATACATAACATGTCTTCTCTTAAATGCATTAAACACAATTCCACTCACATCAATTGAATCGGAAAGAGCATTCTCGGTAGCAGGACTTTTCATTACTAAAATAAGAATCAGATCGGAGTATTGACCATCTTTGCGTTTCAAAATCTTAATAAAAAAATATGTTTTATTTAAAAAACGTAAATTACCTTCTAACTTAGAAGTTTGATCTGAGTTTATTTATTTATTTTTTTTAAATTTTCAACTCAATTCAAAGCATTTTGTTGTTGGTGTTGTTGTTTTATGCAGTTTCCAGCAAACTTTAATAAATTTTTTTTTATTTGTGAAAATTTCTACGTAATTCAAAGTAATCTTTAATATATATCACAGCATTATTAATATGATTTTGGAGGTTGCAGAACGTATTAAATTACTTTATAAAGTAAAAAATAATTATATCGTTTGATTTTAAGATATTTTGTATATCTTAAAAATAATTAATTCTATTTATAATTATTTCCCGGTCTTTTGCTTTTCCCGGATTTCCTGGAATCCCGGGACAAGCAAAAGACCGGAAAATAAGAAACCCTAAATAGCACATTATTATACATTTCTGTCGGACGAGTTAGATAAATGTGACATGGTACTAACAGTCTTTAGATTTAATAAATACTTTCTGAACCGTCAGATATACCAGCGGTTCCCAATCTTTTCTACAATATTCCGTTTATATTGAGGCTCGCGTGCAATGGCGCCTTCCCTCGCGTGCGCATAAGTGTTTATTGCTCTGTATTCAGTATTTATTTTTTTTTTATTATAAATTTAATGATACCTATAAGATTTGATTAAAAATATGAAGCAAAAATATAATTTCACTCTTAAAAACTACAGATATGCCTACGTACATACTTTGCACAAATAAAATGGGTATTTTTTTTAAAACTCTTTCCGCCCTGTGGGCACTAAGAGGGTCTCTTTTTAGCAAGTCCATTATGAGTTCAGTCAGGCCCATAATAGGGCGGCCGAAAGATGAAGGATGGGGCCTGACATATCCGTTCGGACCACTCCCGAAAAATTTCTGAAGACTTTCGACCCGTCAGAATTCGATTCTGTATCCCCAAAAACCGTAAACTATGTTACCTTGACAGCTCGACCAATCGGCCACTTATGAAGAGAGGCAGCTTTTTTTTAATTGTTAATGTTATAGACAATTTTCTCGTTCGCTCGTGTTTGTTACAATTCAAATATAATAATATGACCCTATCTGAAAATTAATATGAAGTAAAAATTTTATTTAATGACATACATGAGTTAATTCTGCACACTTCGTTTTTGCTAAACAGGAAATGGCGTCACGTTTTTTTTAATCTCTTGTGTTATAAGCTTTAAACGCGAGGAATAACAGTAGCAATAATAATGCTAATGATACGGTAAAATAATTAAATAATTTTGTTACATATTAAAAAAAAACAAAATCAGAAAGTGTGAAGGATCGAATCTATATCGCACAGCACATACACTTGGCGTCTTATCCACTCGAGTATATAAACTACCAGAATTGCTCCTTCCAAAGACTTATATACTCAATTTTCAGAGGCCCACTTTTCGGAAACGCTTGAGAAGTGAGTCCTATTATTTGGACAATAATCTGTTTGTGTTTAGGGCTACGTGCTCACCAAGTTTCGTTCGAATCGGACAACACGGCCCTGCTCCCGGGACTGAAGGCCGTTGCCACTTTGCACTTTTACCATAGCGGCCGTCCGGCCGTCTTTTATACCGAGCTGGCGTTTCTTGGTGTACTAGATATAAAATCAATCAATTGCAAAAATTCTATTACAGCTTATTTAAAGTTAGTATTTTGTTTCTAAAAATAAATATTTTGAGCTTTACGAAAAATATTTAAAATTAAATTTGAAAATTTTTCTTCTTTCTTTTTTGTCTGAATCGATTGAATTCATCGGTGAAGAAAGCGTCCACCAGGGTGGGAGCACACGTGCGAAAATGGCAGTTTCGTCCAGAGAATCAGGTTGGCCGAAAGGAAACACACAATCGCAATATTCCGGAAGATACATAAGCAGTAATAACAATCGTAGCATGGCTTTAAGTCGAACTGTTCCACTGTAAGTAATGTATATGTATTTAAGAAGTTATTCTAAATGTATACAATGCTGTCATATCTTTCAAATGGTACAATAGTCGATGATAATAGTGCTTATCTCTGGTTGTTGTCATGCTTTAATATTGGTCACTTAGAACGAATATTTTTCAAGTTTTTTTGTTATTCTGTTGTAAGAAACCCAATTTTGACTACGGCTAAAGAAAGAAATGGTTTAAATTTTCATAAAATTAACATAAAAATACCAGTTTTTAAAAATAATAATAATTATGGAAATTGTACGAAAAGATATTTCAACAAAGTTATAACGTATTTGGTATACCACGTATTTATACAATGAATAGATGAAAAATAAAAATAAATCAGTATTACTATTTTCTATGAAAAAGAAAAAAATTTCAGAGTATGTAGAGAACAATGCATTTATAAGCAATTTTTTCTTAACTTACAAGATATTCTACACAATTTTGAGGTAATTATACAGATTAAGGGGATATACCTCCTTATTAAAATAAGAAAAAAACTCATATTCCCTTAATCTGTATAATTACTGATTTTGAATTATAATTAGAAAAATGATCATCATTTCAAGTTAATGAAAACTTAATAACAAAAGAAGCGGTACATCTTTTATAACTTTGGCAATATATTTAATTAACCAAAAATGTTTTCAATCTACTTTCTAGGCCTTTGGTCGGAACATCAAACTTAAATGAAAACGAACATTGGATGGAATATTTCCATTTAAGTTTGATGTTCTGATTGAGGTTTAAGTAAGTTGAAAATGTTTTTGGTTAATTAAATACATGTATCCTTTGTATAATGCGGTAGATACGTTCCGAAAAGTGCTGTGTTATGCAAATCTGTACTATACGAAACAAAGGACTAGTGCAAAACATAGGGTTACATTCCAGAAGTTAACAAAAGTGTACTATTCTTTTTCACTACTAAGAGAGATATGTTTATTAAAGCAATTGATAATTTACTCTCAATCAATAATTAACTAACAAGCACAATCAAAAGTAGGCTACTGTTAATATTAATTTTAGTTAAATAAGGGCATTTTCTTTTTTCAGCTTCTGAGTTTTTTTGTTGATCTTGATAAAAAATATTAGCAACATCTTTATTTTTCTATTTTTATGATAATTTTCTATGGATGACAAAATAAAATAAAGACAAAATCTTCAATAGTCCAGCAAAACGTTTTAATAACTTAAAAACGTTTTTGAACGCTTTAAGCAATTATCCTCGGTTATTCTCTTGAATCAAACGAGAAATTCAATTAATATGTTATTATAGTAGAGCATTAATTATCCAGAACAATTCAAGCTGGGGTTGTTTGGATAACTGATCATTTATGAAAAATATATTAAACACAAATGTACTGTATATATTTTGCATCACATGTCTTACAAATACATATCTTACATAAAGTAGTACATTAAAGTAGGTCTACAGTTTACATTGGCAGGGAGGGAGGGAGTGCAGCAGTACCATAGCACTAGCAGAAATTTGGATTTGCCAACTAGAATGCTTTTGGTTAACCGATGATTCGGTTGATTGGTATTTGGATAATCAATGCTCTACTGTAATCAATAATTTGTTCTAGCAAGTCGGGTACTGAGAGATTTTCTCCAGAATTTGTGCTCAAATACCAATTTATTTGAGTTGGGAACAGTTCGAATATTGAGATACAGTTGACCCCCCATAATGTGGTAGATACATTCCGCTTTATAAGAATTTTGCATTGTAGGAATCCTTAAATATATGAGCCAATCACAGCCCAGCACGTGTGCAGTTTACGGACTACAGCTGTTTGAAAGGTTTTCTTCCATAAAATTAATTGATTCTAGACTAATTTCACTCAACATTTCCAAAACGCATATAATTTTTTGGGAATAATTTGTATAAACTATGCTATAAACAAAAAATTATAGGAAAACAAGCTTAAGCAATGGCGTCATTGAACAGTGCACACGTACTGAGTGTGCATCGTTCGATGACGCCATTGCTTAAGCTTGTTTTCATCGCGGAGCAGTGCACCAAATGGCGGCCACGTTTTCTGATAAGTTATTTTTCTGTGAAAAATTCGTTGAACTTTGGAGACATTATTAATAGAAATAATTTTTATGGCCGTTGAATAAGAAATGTTTTTTTCACAAGAAATGTATAAAATTACAGTACTGTATTAGACTTACAGCACCTAATTTATAAACTGTACGGACGATAGTAAACTTAACTTACCTGCCTAAACTCTCTGTAGCGTGGAAGTAGTTTGGCTGCTCGTCCACTATTGGTCCAGATTCAACCAATCCTGTCGTGACACGAGTCAGCGATGATGTTTTACCACATTTTACGAGTGTCTTTTGCATCTTTATACAAATACGGTTGCAATTTTTTTGCTGCGATATATGAATCCGCATTATATGAACCTGCGTTATATGAAACCTGTGAACCTGAGAAAATACAAGATGAATGTGGAACACAAGCTGTCAACAGAGAAATAAAAAAGATGTCTGGAGGGACGATGACATCTGTCTATTATTAAATATATGGCAAGAAAAAGTATTTATTTCTAACCAAAACTTCCATTTTGTTTATTGGTGTTCGTGACTTACTGCGTAATTATGTCAGTTTTATCATCGTATGTAATAGCCGGGTTCTTCACAAGCGGACTGCCTGTGCGAACGGCACAATGTTCGACTAGCGACAGTCACAATCCAGATTGTAGGTAAATCGAGATTGAAGTGAGTTGGGGATTGTATGCGAACGTAGAGTGAAACTGGAAGGTTTTGTACGGGTGATATCCCCACTTTTCAAACCATGTTAGAGCGAAACAGTGTTGAAGTACCATGCTGTTGGATATCTGTATATTTCTGAGGTTATACCAGTGGTGTGCCGTCCTTGGAAGCGTGGAAATGCCACTTCCCTTGTATTTTCTAAAATATAAAAACATATTGCATGATTATTTTCATATTTTAACATACAGTAATTTGAATTAATATTTTATTATAACCGCATTATGTATCTTATTATAAATTTCTATACTACATGTGAAAAAAACGATTTGATTACTATTGTATATTTCAATATCAGTGGCGGAATGGAAGTGCTGTATTGTCGAATATGGGACAGCTTTCAAGTAGCCAGATTATATGCGCATGCGCTTTACAGAGCACCACCCTCACCCGGTTTAACTGGTGGAAGCTACACCTGTATAATGCTTCCAATGATTCTATCCAGGATCGGTTCTGGGATGTTAACCGTCTGTGTGCTAGATATTTGGCTGCCCTCACCCCATTATGTGAATCGCAAGTAGATTTATAACTTAACCCAACCGATAAGAATTTACTGGTATATTTTTATGATAGTTCTGTATAGTTGACAGGAGTTAAAAAAAAAAAAAATCCATTAAAATATTTGATATTTTTATTATGCTCTCCCATCTTGTATTACAGATTTCAATGTTAAACTAGTGATATTACGATTTAGTATATCCCATCTATAAGGGGATGCAGAAAAAAACTGTGCACAATTCTTGTACAATGTTAAAAAATTAACTGTTACTTTGGTAGCATCATTTACAACTAATTTAATCAATGTGATTCACAAGGTACAAAAAAAGCTCTAGAATTTATTTTCCGTAAATTTACGATTTACGTATCTGTTGTCATAAAAATTTGTCTTTCCACTACTTTCTCAAGACTACAAATATTAAAATACAAAGTAACTTGTTTCAACTTATTTCTATGTAAGTAGTTAAATAATTAAGAGATTAGGGAATTAGGGACATAAATAAAACCCTGCTGAAAGAGCTGGAGTATTACTTAAACAAAAGCTTAACCGAACCAATCTCTAGCCAAGTACAGTAGAGACTGATTTCTTTGTAATATTAGATGTAATAAAGATAAAAAAATCAATTTATTATAGATAATATAACAAATATAAATTATCATTAAAAAAATGGGGGTTACAAAAAAATTATGAAATATTTGGTGGGCCACGAATATAAAAGGTTAAGAACCACTGCCCTAGACATCACTGACGCACAATTAACTGGAAGTTGTCTTCTTACAGAAACACAGTTTCCTTATCATCAAATGTCACAGCACGCCATTGAGTTATACAAAGTGTATTTGTTTCTTTAGTTTGGTTACTTCTCCAGTTTTGTCAAATTATTTTAAAAACTTAATATCTTAAAATCTAATAAAGTAAAATAAGTGAATTTAAGTTTATAAATATTAATTTATTATAAAGTCAACACACCTTACTACTGAGAAAGCACATTTATTCAGCTAAACAAATGTTTTCAACTCATTTCATGGGCCATCATCAGGTTAAAGACGTTCAAATCAATGGCTTTTCGAACATGTTCAAATTTAAATTATATTAGAACATATGTTGAAATAAGATTAAGTAAACAAGCATAACAAAATTAATACAATAAACAAGAAAAATAAAATAAAATGAAATACAAAATATGGTAATTCCCTAAAATACAATATGTAAACATTTTTTTTAGTAACTCAGGTTTTATTGAGCCTGGTGGATGTATCCTCTTATGAGTTCTTTCTGATTATATATTTCCGTGCCGACAGTAAAATGGTTGCATCTTTACAGTTTAAACATTTATCCGTTAAGCTAGATCTGTAGATCTCGCACTTCTCTGTTGTGGATGCAAGCATTGACGAGTGCACATTTGCAATGATTCTTCCCATTTAACTATGGATCCATCTGTCTGTGCTATTTTTGATAACGCTGTTGTATATCGGCTCTTTGCTACGTTGTACTTATGCTCTTTCATCATTACGTTAAGATTTCTATTTGTGACTCCTATATATTCTTTATCTATTCCTAATTGGTCGTTCTTGTACAGTATTGCATACACTCCTGGTTGTTCTTTTTCATTAATTTTTTCTTTGTCATTTCTTAGCAACATATATAAGGTGGGAGCTTTTTTGTATACAATATTTGTGTTTTTGTAGTTCGCAATTTCTTTCATAA